TGGTCTTTGTAAAACGGTTGAAAATCAGCGTAAAGAATACAAGCTCAAAGCTTTGTCTTCTCTTACATGGCTCACAAGTCACAAGCCAATGGTTCAGGCTTCAGACAAAGATGCCTAAGTAGACCAATTAGAGATGCTTGTGAATATTTTACCATGAAGAATGTTGTAACTTAGCCTTTTTGTCATTCAAATATACTAACAATGCCTCGGTTTTTTCGAAATCATCTTCTGCTTCTTGTTATGGATGATGTTCTGTTCTTGATTTTTTTTTTTTTAAGGTATGGAGAAAAACACAGGTCTGAAATCAAGCTTGTTACGGTATCTTTTCAAAGTCAACTGATGCCAATAATAATTTAATTCTATATTATTTAACTGACGCAAAAACCAATTTGCATATTTAGATTTATTTAAAGATTCTGCTAGTTAGTTGTCTGCTGGTTCAACTCACAAAATTCTTCATTTATTTTAAAAGATATTATTATCAGTTCTTATCTAGAGCAATGGTCTTCTCTTTGATTTCTTGGTAAGAGTTCCATTTCTGTAGACAGAACTCGATGAGTTGTTTTTCCATCATTTTTTTCAGATTGTTTTCGATTCAATCCATTGGTTGTTTCATGCCTTTTGGTAGATCCTAACAATACTGCTCAAGACACAAAACAATCAAATTCGCATTTTGTTGAATCAAAATGAGTTCTCTCTGTTCAATAGCAATCTTGCTTTCTTGCCTTGTGCTGTTTCTTGCCAAAAAATGTTTGTCACATCCATTATGTAATGATTTGAGTAGGTGGTTTCTCTCTTGTTGAGATTAGATTGGTAACTTTGTGTTTTTGGTCGTTTCTTTTCTGATTTTCTGGAATTGTTTGGTCAGCTGCGCCGTTTAATGTGAAGCAACCGCTCGGTTTTTGTCGATTCAATGGAAGTGTATGCTGTAACTCACGGCAGGACTTCAGGTTGCAGAGACAGTTTAAAGCAGTCAATGTATCTGAGAACTGTTCTCCTCTTCTTAAATCGTTACTCTGCTCGGTAAGGCCGGCGCAAATGTTCATCTGTTTTAGCATTTGATTGTGAAACATTATGCGATTAGATTACTTGGATGCTATGGTTATGTTCATGACTTTTATAACCTCTCGATTCCCTTCTCTGGTTGCAGAAGTGTGATCCTTTCGCAGCAGAGCTTTTCCGGGTTGAGTCAGAATCTAGACAAGTTCCTGTGCTTTGCAATTCCACAGTTTCTTCTAATAAGTCAGCACAATCGTTTGCCGACATTGATTTCTGTGACAGATTTTGGAATGGATGTCAGAATCTCTCTGTAAACAACACTCCTTTTGCATCTCAACCTGGAGATGGAAGCAACAGTAGTAATGTCACTTCCACAATATCCGAAATATGGAAATCAAGCAATGAATTCTGCAAGATCTTTGGTGGAGCTTCAGATGAATCATCTGTGTGCTTCAATGGCCAGGCGGTTTCATTTAACATTTCAAAAGTTACCGGTCCATCTCCTTCAGGCGTATGCCTTGAGAAGCTTGCAAATGGGTCGTATCTTAACATGGTACCTCATCCCGATGGTACTAATCGTGTCTTTCTGTCTGATCAAGCCGGAAAGATGTACTTGGTGACAATTCCAGCTGAAGGATCTGGAGAGGTTTTGACAATAGACGAAAGTAACCTGTTTCTTGATCTTACTGAAGAAGTGCACTTTGATGGTGAGCTTGGTCTCTTGGGAATAGCATTCCATCCGGACTTCTTGGAAAACGGTAGATTCTTCGCTTCTTTCAACTGCGATAGAGTTAAGTGGCCAGAATGTTCTGGAAAATGCGCGTGCAACTCAGATGTTAACTGTGACCCTGCAAAGCTAGATTCATCTAATGGAGCAACCCCATGTCAGTTCCATAGTGTCATATCAGAATTCTATTCTAATGGTATTAGACAATCTCACCTTCGTTTGTATGTTTTCTTTATATTGGATGTTGCTGAGACGTTATTGACATGTTTTAGGGACTTATGCTAAACCTGTGGAGGTAGGAAGGATCTTTACGATGGGTCTTCCTTTTACATCGCATCACGGTGGACAAATCTTGTTTGGACCCAAAGATGGATACTTATATTTCATGATGGGAGATGGAGGAAGTACAGGAGATCCATACAACTTTGCACAGAACAAGAAATCATTGCTCGGAAAAATCATGAGACTCGATGTGAATAATGTTCCAGGTATAATATATGTTACAATGAACATGGAATTTGACAATGAAAAAAGCAGTTTTGGTTCATGTTTATCATTCTTTTTCAGATGCAAAAGCGATGAGTGAATTTCAGTTATGGGGAAACTATTCTATACCAAAGGACAATCCGTTTTCTAAAGATAAGAATCTGTTGCCTGAAATATGGGCAATGGGAGTTAGAAATCCATGGCGATGCAGTTTTGATGCAGAGAGACCATCTTATTTCCTATGCGCAGATGTTGGAGAGGTATTACCAAACCTGAAACCAACATTTTTATTTTCTTATATTGTCTACTTCAGATTCTTGATATATGACACTGAGTTTGCAGGACAATTATGAAGAAGTGGATATGATCACTAAGGGAGGAAATTATGGTTGGCATTACTACGAGGGACCTTTACCGTTTAATCCACCGAGTTCTATTAAAATCAGTAACTCAACAAAGATTGCAAACCCGATCTTCCCGGTAATGTGGTACAATCATTCAGACAGAAACCAGAGCGGAGGATCAGCATCAATAACCGGCGGATACTTTTATCGTTCATCTACTGATCCATGTTTGTATGGAACGTACGTTTCACTAAACTGATATAATTCAAGAACTATTCATTGGCTTTCAGTGTAGATATGTGAGTGGTTTGTTTTCATTTTTAGGTATCTCTTTGCAGACTTATACGCTGGACTTATTTGGGGTGGAGCTGAAACTCCAGTGGGTAGCGGAAAGTTCGCTAGCTCTCATATTCCGTTGCAATGCGCCTCGGATTCACCAATACCGTGCTCATCTGAAACAGAGCCTTCTTCTTCATCTCCACCCCTTGGCTTTGTGTTCTCCTTTGGTCAAGACAACAACAAAGACATCTATTTACTTGCAAGCACTGGTCTTTACAGAATTGTTCGCCCGAGTCGCTGTAACTATCATTGCCCTCTTGAAAACAAAACTTCTTTGGCTCCTTCACAACAGCCTGATCGTTCTCCTCCGTCTCCATCATCGTCTAAACGAGAACACAACATCAGTTCTCTTGTTATAAACTTCTTAGCTTGGTGTGTTTTTTTGGTTATTATATAGAGAATAGAAATGAGCATGTTTAAAGATCCGTACATAAAACAGAGGCAAATGTTTGAAACTAATTTTCTTGAGACAAAGGATGTGAGGTGAACCAACAATCAAGAGAACAATATACATATCAGAAGTGGCACACATCTTCAGAACAGAGGAGGCGGCGCAACAAGAGTTGCATTGGCTGCGAGAAGGGTGATTATTGGGAACAACTTTGAATTTAGTGTCCAAGTATGTGATCTCTCGTCCTGGCATTAGACATGGAAGTTCCTTAATCACACACTTGACATGAAAAGTAACCCCGCAAGTATCACTGCAAGCTTTGCAATGTCTACCACGAGGTGAAGTGGAATATAAGGGATGACTTTCATGAGTAAAGCGGGTCCAAACTTTAAGCTACATCGAACACCTAAATCGTTGAAGCCATGGAATTAGTTGTACCTGAAACCATTGGAGAACCCTCGAGAAGCTCCACATTTAAAAATATCCAAGAAAAACATGTCGTTGGAGTGAAGAGTAAGCTGCTTCATGGACAGAACGTGATGATTCTTAATCATAAATTTAGCTCATATTTTGTGAACAACGAAATGACATTGCACACATCTGTAGAATGGATAAGAATAGATAGGAAGTACGCATGCTTCACAGCGTATTTTTTCATCCCAAATATCACCATCTTTGATGAGTCTTAGGTTGTTTTCTTGATGACTAAAATGCTTAATCAAACCATAGCCTACCACTTTGAATGGTGTAATGTCCTCGATTTCTTCGGGTTCTCCTTCGAGTTCTTTCCCATGCCGCATGTTAACAAAACCAAATAAGTGTTTATTCATGCTCTATAAGAACTTAATCAAATAACTAAAAGAGTTTGATACAATAGATAGCTCATATGAGTTTTATTCAAATGCAAAAATAAAAGGATAGTAAAGAATTTTAATTTTTTCACAAGATCACGAACAGTATATGTAGATTGATCTTCATAAACATTAAAGGAGGAGAGTTTAGGCCTTGATTGACAGAGCATTTAAATGAGCATCATGTTTTTAATTATTCAAATTTGATTTGTTGACAAAGTATTAACCAGAGCATTTAGTAACTAACTCCTAATGCTCTCCAAATGCTCTTACCCTCAATCTAGATTGCATGGAAACAGAAACGGATACGTGGAAACGAAACATTTGGAAACGTGGAAACGATTTTTTAAAAAAATTTAGGAAATGGGTACGTTTTGGAAATGCGTATAAAAAATTTAGGAAACGGGTACGTTTTGGAAATGCGTATATATATATGAATCAACATCATCAAAAACAATATATAAAAAAATTTAAACAACACTATTATATACATGAATATTAAATAGCTTAACAAAAGCAAAAAGTATAATACTTTTGTTGTTTTCAACCTATATACAAACACAATCTTTCATAATTTTGTTGTTTTTAACCTATAAAAGTACTAAATATATCCCTACATTTCCAAACTATTTAATTATTACATAAGAAACAATTTTTCATCGCATCTCCAAAACGAAGTCGAACACTTCTGTCGTATTTCCAATTTGAGATTTCTAGGAAACGAGTTTCCGTCACGTTTCCAAAACGAAATTAAAGTTTCCATCACGTTTTCAAATTAAAATATTTTAGGAAACGTGTTTCCAAATTAAATTTTGTTAGAAAACGCGTTTCCGTGGAGTTTCCAAGAGTTTCGGTTTCTGAAACGTTTCTGAAACGGAAAACGCTTCTCGGACGGAGTTTCCATGTAACCTACCCCTCAATGCTCTCAAATAGAGGTTTTTTAGAGCATTGACCTATGATATTATTAAAAAATATTAAATAGCTATTTTTTATATAAGATCAAAAACGAATTATATTGTTTTTTAGATATTTTAGTTAATATTTATCATTATTTTATTGGTTCTATTATTTTAAAATAATATAATAACAAAAAAATAATTCAG